AGAGCGAACTAAGGGCGTATTTGAGCCTAGCTAGCTTAGCTGTGTCTAGCATCGTTAATGCATTTCTATATAAGTTGTTCCTTAGAAATTCCTGCACGATTATCGGGCTGATCAATGCAGCATCGAGGGCTCTTAGAGCGGAAAGTTTCACTGGTAACGCCACGTTTTCGCGCATACAAAGGGACAGTAATTTATACGGGGTTTGAACTTTCAACAGAATTTCTGGACCTTTCGATAATCGACAAAGAGCTTCTGCTAAACGAACTCCCACTTTCACGTGTCGTACTTTGTATGCTGGTTGTGGTTGGGCCCTAGCGAGCTCCATATCTAAGCCAGCATTGACAATATCAGTCAAATCATTGATATCGTTTATGTCGGAGTCAAATGGACTTAGTATGGCGCACAAAGTCTCGCAGTTGTGAACGAATGTTTCTTTTTCTTGACCGGATGCATTGTGGAAATGCGAGACTGATTTGGAGAGGGATTGTAAAATCTCTCTAATCTTCAATAAGGTCTCGTGGTTCACATGAATGTCTTCCAAATCTCCCAGCTTCTCTAGACTTAACAAATCAGGTGGCACCATTGCATATATTTCATCGATTTGTGATGCTTCACACTCGAACTCGGCAGTAGACGGAACATCATCGGTCATTATGTCCTCGTCCGATAATATCGGCTCAAAGGGTTCACCAGTTTCCGGTTCGCCAGTTTCCTGTTGCTCTGCTTCTTCTTCTTCAGCGGAGATGGACTCCGGACTTAGAGAGATCAGGGATTCAGTAGGCGGAGACAAAGGTCGCTTTGGTTTTTCGCCTGCGTTGGACGTCTCATCTTCCCATTGTCTCGATTCTGTCTTTCCCGTGTCGGATGTGGTCGTCCTGGATGGTTCCACTACTTGGATCGGTTGTGGTGATGGAGTTGCCGTCACGCATGTTTCTTGCTGCAATGTAATTATGTGTTCAAACTCGAGTGAAAATAGTGAAGAGTATTGATAGAAAAATGACAAGAATAAAAAATTAGCATTAGAACATTTTAACTGAAACTATCCCATAATTATCAAATTAATATGCATAAATGATTTATTAAGATCGTAATGTGAATACATAACAAGAATATAAAAGCCTATGTGAATTGTATATAATATAGATATAATTCACATTAAATTATTTAAAGTGTTAAAGACCCAGCTTCTACCATTATAGGCTTTTATATTTTTGGTGGTTTTTTGTGCTCTTCTTTTTATACATTTGGAATTAATATAACCACATTCGTTTTTATGATGTATTTTATATTTTTATTTGTTGTGTATTCAAATTAATATGCTATTCAGATCAAATTGAATTACAAATATTGAAATAAAAAAAAACATTTAAAATATGCAACATTTTATTTTCTAAACATCCTTTAGATACTTTTATTTGGATTAAAAAAAAATGATATTATGTCAAATTTTCTTACCGATAAATTCGTTTGATGTTGATTCTCGTAATACCATTCGGGTTGCTGTTCAGAAGAAATTTGCACAGCATTTTCAGGATTTTCTTCTATGGAGCTAACGCAAGCAGTAG